AAAAAAAAAAAAAGAAAGGAATTTTCATTTTCTTTTGGGAGGGGTGGGGGAAAAAGAGAGAGCGTGAGAGAGGGGCAGAAGGAGAGGGAGAGAGAGAATCTTAAGCAGACTCCACACCCAGTGCAGAGCCCTGAGCAGGGCTAGATCTCACAACCCTGAGATCACGACCTAAGCCAAAACCAAGTGTCAGATGCTTAACCAACTGGGCCACCCAGGCACCCCTGGAATTTTCATTTTCTATCAATGTATTACTTACTGTGCATTTTCCTGATACTTTCGGGTAACACAATCTTCTCTTTGCAAAACATGTAAAAATCTATTACGTGCTACATGGCATCTGGCAATGCATTTGTGCATATCTTGTGGCTTTACATTAAATGTCTCGGTAGAACGTATACAAGAATCTACATGGAAAACAAATGAGATCATAGAAATTATCAAATATCAAACATCAAATATTTGAAAATAATTTTAAGAGATTAACAACTCATACAACTAACAACTCCTTAAAAACTGATATGCCACATAAACAGATACAACTAATTTTAACAAAAGCAAGGAAACCTATTTTTAAGTAGGCAACTAAAAAACGGTATCTGAAGTTGAGTTGTTTTACGTAATTAAAAACTGTGAAGTCTATCTGCTCCAAATAATTCTTATTATCAAAGCTTGATATATCCATGAACAAATACACGGTTATACACAAGCAACTTAACAGGATCTTTTCACAAAAAAGGAAGAAAATCAATTAAAAGAGATAAGGTGAGATCACAACACCTCCTTTGCTGCCATCATTTTATTTTTCTATCTAGTAAGACCAATAGGACAACCAAACAAAACCACTCTCCACTTCTCAAGTAATTCTTGCCTGTGTTACTAATGATTAAAGCAGACCCTGACGGGGCGCCTGGGTGGCTCAGATGGTTAAGCGTCTGCCTTCGGCTCAGGTCATGATCCCAGGGTCCTGGGATCGAGTCCCGCATCGGGCTCCCTGCTTCTTGGGAGCCTGCCTCTCCCTCTGTTTCTCTCTCTCTCTCTCTGTCTCTCATGAATAAATAAATAAAATCTTTAAAAAAAAAAAAAAAAGATGGCTCAATACAATAAAGACTGATATTCTGGAAAACAGGGACCACTCCACTGCACTTAACATTACTAATCCAGGGGCGCCTGGGTGGCACAGTCGTTAAGCGTCTGCCTTCGGCTCAGGTCATGATCCCAGGGTCCTGGGATCAAGCCCCGCATCGGGCTCCCTGCTCAGCGGGAAGCCTGCTTCTCCCTCTCCCACTCCCCTGGCTTGTGTTCCTGCTCTCACTATCTCTCTGTCAAATAAATAAATAAAATCTTTAAAAAAAAAAAAAAAAAGATGGCTCAATACAATAAAGACTGATATTCTGGAAAACAGGGACCACTCCACTGCACTTAACATTACTAATCCAGGGGCGCCTGGGTGGCACAGTCGTTAAGCGTCTGCCTTCGGCTCAGGTCATGATCCCAGGGTCCTGGGTTCAAGCCCCACATCGGGCTCCCTGCTCCGCGGGAAGCCTGCTTCTCCCTCTGCCTCGCTCCCCCTGCTTGTGTTCCTGCTCTCGCTATCTGTCAAATAAATAAATAAATAAAATCTTAAAAAAAAAAAAATTACAAATCCAGGTCCCAGTGCTACCCCCAAAGAAACCACAAATTCTAAATATTTAACCGGGGAGGAGTTCACTGAATGTAGAAGTAATCTAGAGACTAAACATGTTGACCGGAATTGTTTTAAATCAGAAATAGGAAAAGGACAACCCATGCTTAGGAGCCTTATGCACAGGGTGCCTGGGTGGCTCAGTCATTAAGCGTCTGCCTTCGGCTCAGGTCATGATCCCAGGGTCCTGGGATCGAGCCCCCGCATCGGGCTCCCTGCTCAGCGGGAAGCCTGCTTCGCCTTCTCCCACTCCCCCTGCTTGTGTTCCTGATCTCGCTATCTCTCTCTGTCAAATAAATAAATAAAATAAAATCTTAAAAAAAAAAAAGCAGCCTTAAACACAACAAACTCTTGCTAAATCCAAACATACATATTTCATATAAAATACTTTGGGCTACGTGTAATTGGAGTAGACCATCTTTGGAAAGAAAAACTGGTAACAATGCTTATGTTGCATTAAATTTTAAATATGCAAATACTTATACAGCAAGATCACATGTATAAGTTTTTAAAAATCATGCACATGGGACGCCTGGGTGGCTCAGTCGTTAAGCGGCTGCCTTCGGCTCAGGTCATGATCCCAGGGTCCTGCGATCGAGCCCCGCATTGGGCTCCCTGCTCAGCAGGAAGCCTGCTTCTCCCGCTTCCACTCCCCCTGCTTGCATTCCCTCTCCCGCTGTCTCTCTCTCTGTCAAATAAATAAATAAAAATCTTTAAAAAAAAAAAATCATGCACAGAATATAAACTGGAAAAAAATGTTTACATATCACATCATAGAGAAAGGATAGTAATAAATAAGAGCTCCTATAAATGAAAAAAGCAATAACTTAAGAGAAAAATGGACAATTATGAATATAGAGTACAAAAAGAATACAAATTGCTCTTAAATATATGAAACAATTTTCATTCTAACTAAATAAGAAAAATACAAATTAAAACCACCCTGAGATTCCACTTTAACCTAAATTAAAAAGATAAAAACGTCTGACCACACACAATGTTGTGGAGCCTTTGGGAAAACAGAAATTCTCCATACACTGGTGATAGAGGTATAAATTGTCCAATATCTACAGAAAATACTCTGATAAAAACTAGCAAATTACAATGCACAATTCCTTTGACCAAGCAAATAGTCTTCAGGAATTACATACACACACACACACACACACCCCATATATACATATACGTGTGTGTGTATCTATGTGTGTATATATATATATGGTGTGTATGTGTGTATGTGTATATATGTAATATATACATGTGTACATATACATGTATATATATTTGAACACACAAAGTCATATATATATATAAAGCTTATCACTGTAGCATTGTATTTGTAGCAAAAAAAAAAAAAAAGTGGGGGGGGGAAGCCAAATGTTGGTCAACAAAAGACTGGTTAAAAAAAACCTATTATGGTTGAGGACCCGGACTGAGGGATGAAAATAGGTATACCTGGAAGAAGATTTTATAAAGTTGTTTTTTTTTTTTTTATTTGACAGAGAGACACAGCAAGAGAGGGAACACAAGCAGGGGAAGTGGGAGAGGGAGAAGCAGGCTTCCCGCCGAGCAGGGAGCCTGATGTGGGGCTCGATCCCAGGACCTTGGGATCATGACCTGAGCCGAAGGCAGATGCTTAACGACTGAGCCACCCAGGCGCCCCTGGAAGATTTTAAAATCAGTTTCTCTTCAAATCATCTTCTTTCACATCACCTAATAAGCATCTTGATTCACCATGGCGTTAGCAGCAGTAAAATGGGCAATATCAAACAGAACTATCTGGAAACATTTATTTCCAATTCAAAACTGAGCTTTATATTGTGTTTGTCATAAATCTACGTATTCTTCTCTATCAGAGGACTATAACTGCAAAGTAGAGCTTGCTTTGACATCGGATGGCCGGACAATAGTAGGCTACCACCCTTCTGTGGACATTCCATATGAACATACAAAACCTATTCCTCGGCCAGATCCTGTGCATAATAATGAAGAAACACATGACCAAGTGCTGAAAAACAGATTAGAAGAAAAAAATGAGCAATTTGAGCAAGGACCCATGACAGAACAACTTAGCAAAATGTTCTTTTTTTTT